TGCCTTGCCTTGCCTTGCCTTGCCATTAAGTAAACACGTGCATCTGTGGCCAGCCTGGACACTGGGATCTTGGACCACCAGTAGGAAAAGCTCCTGCTCGATGGATGCACATTGATTGATGAGAGCAATGCAAGGTTTGGAGCCATGGCTTAACTTTAGAACTAAACATTATTGCTTGGCGTTCAAAGTCTGCGTTTGAGGCTGCACCAGGTGAACTCTGCACTGGAGACGACGAGGAGAAGCCTCTTGTGTTCCAAGAAAATGTGACTCCCGCCTTGGTGATTTCAATCTCGTCTTGCATCGCCTGACCATGACAAGGTAGCCATATGCTAAGCGCAATCAGGGTTTGGACAGCAGCACGACAGCCAGGGTGGCAGCGACAACACCATAAGAAGCTCCTGCCCGGGCAACCACCAACTTTAGCAATGGAAACAGGAGAATGAGCATAATATGCGCAATGCAACGATATTGTGATATTAGTACATGCAAAGGAAGGAGCCACAGCAGCAGAGGCGGCAGCTATTCAGGCCATTCAAACTCGCTGCTTTTTCGTAGCCGTGCATACCTGTAAATTCACCCGCCTGGTCTGTGAAGTGGGCGGACTGGGGAGACAGGTCCAGGTCAAACCGGCTTCTGACCTGCGAACGATTCTGGCGGCAAACTACGGGAACTGGTGCTTGAACCGTGTAGTGACCCACGGTTCATGCAGTCGTCTCGTACTACACGGAAACCTAGGGCACAAACCTAAAGGGTAACACGCTTTCGAGCCTTGCTTTTACAGAACCTGCAATTTCCCAACCCGAGCTTTCAAGGAACCGTAAACGCTCAAAGGCCCCGACGCCCAAACTCAAGGAAAGGGTAACGACACCGCAGAGACACTAACGCTGCTTAGAAACAAGCTAAGCCCGATCTATCAAGGCCCCTGTAAACACCCCAATGCCTTACCAAACATGAGCAATGACTAGCGGTTGATGCAGTAGAGACACTAACACCTCCCGGCAAGTACCTTGTCCTGTACATTGTTGCAAAAGCAATCATGGTAATCAGTATGCAGCAACAAGACATATTGTTATGCAGAGGGATCGTCATACGCACGTCAACATGTAAACACAAGGATGCAAACAATAGTCATGAAGGAAAGTGAGTAGCACTGCTGCCGAGGAGCACTGGGTCGGCTCGAGGCCTCAAGACCCTCCGCCTCCCTGTCACGAAAAATCTTGTTGGCGGCAGCAAAGCGCTTCAACAGCTCACCTTAGAGGGAGTCTATCCTCTCTTTCTCTCCTTCATTCTTACTTTCTGCCTTTTTTTGGACAAAGGAAGCGGAAGTACATGCCACCATGGGTGCCCTTTCACAACTTCTGGCGACGGGGACAACTAGGGGCACGGCGAATCGCTGGTGTGTAGAATACATGGTTCCAGTTTTCATCTCCTAGACCTGTCTGCCCATACCTATTCCTGCATCTGTACTCGTACATTGTGACTGTGCGCGTGTCTACATACGTGAACATTTTCGCAAATCCATCTAATTACCTGTCCAGCCTTCCGTTGCATGTCTGTACACACATGTCAGAAGGAGTTGGCAGACATGTATATCCTTGGATGCACGAGTGACACCCCAGGATCTCAGGGCCGTTAGGGCCGCTGGGAAACGTGATAGATGAGGAGTGAAGAGCCTGCCTGCGTCACTCCATCCTCGATTGTCTTGAAGTGTTTGTGCGCAGTTGTTCCCAGAACATTCAGGACTGCGCAGTCACATTAGCAAGCCTCTGTGTGCAATGCGATGATTGATGTGCAATCACAAAGTATGATCTCGGACACCAGCGGAGCCAAGTTCGATCCACAGATGCAGGGACGAGCACAAAGTAAGTCCGGCTTCGATTGGGAATATGATAAGCCATTATAGCTCTGGGTACAATTCGAAGCCAAGGAATCGCTCAAGAAGGGGATGTTTACGCATGGGTTCGGAAATGCAGTCCGACCATATTCATTGCGGGACGGAAGTCCTCCGCAACCAGGTAGTAATGGACAAGCACAGCCTGACGTGGACGTGCCTCCAACATGTACTTACAACGAAGTCAGAGAAACACATCGTTTGTCCGAATGGCAGCCTTGTCAGAGAATCCTCCCAGGTCAAAGCCGTACTTGGCGAGATGCCCCACCCGCAATCGTGTCCCAAAATCACGCTGAAGGCCACCCACAATTCCTTCAAGTTTGGGCCGGCAAGTTAAAGTCTCCGAGCGTCGAGTTGTGCGAGCAATTCGGACGCTCTCTCGGGCATGCTGCTCAGCTGTGGTGGCTTCATTCTCCTCGGCAACTCATGGCAACTCAAGAGCATACGTGAGCATCTTTGAAAAGCTGGGGCCCTGTCGGGCATGGCCACGCTGCCGATATGTCGACTACCGTTTGCTGCATACATACGTGTTTTATTTTGGCGGATGGGTACTATAAAACTTCCTTCTCGGCACTTTGTAGCTGAAGCTCCTTGGCGGCCCGCATGGTAATGTCCACGTAGACCTTGGCTCAACCACATGTGAATTGGCGCTTCCCTCCTCTTTTCTGGGTCTGGGAAGCCTGTAGATCGGAATGAAGCTTGCATGGAGTCACTGCTAGGCACGACAACCTTCCCGGTGGAACTGCCTCGCAGCCAAGCTACCGCCAGGATCACGTTGAAAATACCTCAGGCATGCTCGGCGGACATGGCGTACATACAACGCCCTGCAAGGCAGCCTTCTCTGTTGCCATTGCAGACGAGCTGGTTGCACCCTAACAGTGGAGGCACCCAGTCCTTCGGATGCGCAACATGTACAGCCCTCGAACTCGAAGGCTCAAAGGTGTGCAGCTAGCAGTCACTGGCCCGAAACCCGCAAGTCCAGCTGGACCAAGATAGTTGGAATAAAGACATTTCCAGTCTGGAGTCGCAAGACAGTCCCGAGCTTGCTGCAGCAGAGCTGCCCATGGAAACCAGCATGTAGCTGCAAATGTAGGGTATGACGAAAGGAAGACCGATCCTGAGCGGGGTTTGCACTATGGGGAGGAGCGCTATGTCGATAATGTGCGCCGCAGACTAGAGCATATATCGCGCACTACAGCGAAAACTTCCTGCCGAACATGTTTTCCCACGTCTTATCTCACTCATCAAGGCTCCATATCCTGCAGTCATGCAAATGATAGTGGTACCAAAAGAGCTCTTCTTCTTCTTACCACGGCTGTTGCCGTGCGTACTGCTAGTACCTTACCCGGCTCTTTCTCGTAGTAGCAGTGGTAGTAGTGGTTTTGCCGAACAAGAAAACTATTTATAGAAACACTGGCAATACTGACAATGATGGCACCGATGACCACAGCGATTAGCATCTGCATCACCATCGTCAGTCATCATGACCATGAACATTATCGTTATCATCCTCATCCTCCGCAGTATGCTGATCCTCACCACCACGACCACTGTCACTGCCAGTACTTTGCTAACCCCGGTTTACAGCTCCGATCTTGACGGCCAGGGTGGTTGTGATAATGACGACTCAGATCATGATGGTGGCCGTAGTGATGAGGGTCATGCCAAGATCCTGTCGACACGTTAGTATTGTCACCTGCTGAGCCAAAGAGCTCCTTCCCCAGAACGGCCGCCAAAGGAGCACCTTCCGAGGTGGACAAAGGATCACCAGGGCTTACGGGGGTTGAAGACCACCTACAGCCTACAGGTGGTGACAGGAAGGTGTCTCAGCCAGAATATCAAGCCGCGAACTCAAATCCCGCACTTTAACCTTATGATTCAGTTGTCGACGCTCTTCCAGGACTTCTCTGACCAACCCTGGTTCGAGACCACCGCTCTGTATGCAAAGTCCCACGACCCTCTCGCGCCGTCGATTGTCTCGCACTGCCCAGTGAAGCACCGGAATGCCGTGAACATCGACCTCGGTAGCTGATTCAGGTGCTCTTTCGCAGCCTGCGGTGCCGCAGGACGTGGCAGGTGTAGTTTACTGTGCTTCACCTTTTTCCATAGCTCTGTTTTTGAACACTGAGGCTGAACTCCAATCGAACAGATGCGTAGCTGGCAGCTGCGACTGAAGCGAGAGCTACCACAGCTTCTCGAGCTGTGCTAGGACGTTGTCGAGCTGCTTCTTTGCAAGCTCCTTGGACTGCTTGTTTTTAAAGTAGCCCCAAATGCCTTTGTTTCGGTTCACTTTCTCCACCAGGCGAAGTCCGTCCTTCCAGAGATCCAAGAGCTTCATAAAATGCCCCAGATCACTGGTGCATCGGCCGACATCTGTGGCCGACTCCATGCTGTAAGGACAACGCGGGGGGGGAATCCAAAAATAGGACTCGGACTCAAAGTGGTATTTGGCGAGGAAGGTGTCGATCCTCTTGATCAGCTCTCCGGCGTCGGCGTATTCGTAGAGGTTGAATAAGGTGCTGTGCACCATCGGACAACTCTCAAGCTGCAGGGCAAACTTGCAATGCTTCACATAACGGCCCGTGTGGAAGGCATCAGCCAAGCCATATGCACCAGTGTAGGTTATGTCTTGAAGGATCTTCTCTGCCTCTTGACGGAAAATGCCGCTTTGGATTTTGATTCTCCCAGTATTCTTTGTGACGCAACACTGAGTCCACTTGGACTCTTGGCCAAATACGTCTGCCTGCAACACCGTGCTTGCATGCTCACCTTCTTGTGCCTGTCGCAGGGCGGAGAGGAGCACAGGAATCAGGGCACACAATAGGATACGACCTGCTGACGACATGGCGATGGAGTTGACAGAGAAGCAGGAGATGTTTCTTTGAAATGCTTGACAGGCTGCAAAAGCTGCGGCAAGCATGTCTGGGTACCAACTGGCCTGCCCCGCTTTCTGACTCACTTTGAAAGGGGGTTTCGTTCCTCGAGGATATCTTGCTGTCGCAATACGGCCAGGATCGTCAGCACAGCCGGTCGCTGCAGCAATTAAACATCACTTGCCCTTCCCGCAGCCAGGTTGCACGGGCAAGTTCTCGAAAAGGGCATGCAACTCGTAGTCTTTCCTGACGGAAGTTCGCTTTCGCATTGCTGCGGGCACATGTCGGAGGCGCCCAAGGCTCGAACAAAAAGAGAGAATCAAAGTGTCAGGACTGACGTGAGCAACCCAGTTTTTGCCTATAATCCCACCGTTTCGTTCCGGACATGTTGCGCTTCGAGAACATCATCACGGCCCAGTGTGTATGTCGCCAGCCCGGCAAGGACCTGGGCATCCAGTGTCGAACCAAAGTCCTATCAACATCGCAGAACCTCCTAGTACCAGTCTCCATTCACAGGTCACTGATCCACAAGATCCTGCGTGGATGGATCAGCTCTAGACCCTCCACCTCGAACCTCGTATATCGGCATCAACAACCAAGGAGCATATAACACCACGAACAGCAGGACGAACGCCATCAGCAATGTTTGCATGCTGCCAACGAGTCCTTACCGCTGTTTTGTAGTCAGTTGGAGTGGCTCACGAGCTTTGTGCTGCGGGAATTTGTTGTCAATATTCATGAGGGCCTCGGATTTTCTGGGTATGGTTAATTGACTGGTATGGTGTCGTGGCGTGCTGAAGGAATCGACTTTCTCGGATGCCGCAATCGGGTTCACTACGATGTAGCATATCTTGATACCTCAAGCTGTAAAATCGAGACCCGGCCGTGCAGCACCTCATTGTGAGTAGGGAATGTGAAGAGCTCAGCAGGACTGTAAGGCTATGACTGTGGCTTTCTGGATTCATGGCGAAAGCTGCTTTGCGTCCGCTCTCTGCGGCCGCTCGTGCAGGCTCTCGCAAACTTACATAAGCTCACCCGTCGCAGTACTAGGCAACGTATCGTAACACAATGAGAGATGCGTACCTCGCACTCTCAGTCTAGGTACTCTTTCACTGAACACTTGGCACCGACGATTGTTGGAACAGCTTTTGGGTACTCCCAACTCTGCCCCCCATGCATTCCGACTTGCGCGAAGACAAACACGAGCAATACTCAGTCCCTGGAACACTGCTAGCTTCCGTGGGCATGCCCACGGAGTTTGCACAAGTTCCCAGTTCCTAGCTCGTCTTCAATGCCAACAGAGAAGCCTTTGAGCATCAAGCGAAGCTCTTTCATCCAGTGGAGACCTTGCAGTGCGGATCCTTCTCGGCACAGATACCGCTATTGCTGGGACTCAACGGGAGCATGTCTGGAAGTGGACAGATCGGCTTTGCTCGTCCGGGGCACGGAAGACCTTAACTATCCGCGTCAGCCGCACCAGCCGCACAAAGCGGAGCAGAGTTGTGAAGAACATTGCCTGCGCTCGTCAACTGCACAAGGAACAGTAAGGGTGTGAGGGCCGTCAGGTAGCCTACTGACACAGTGCGTCGCTGAAGCGATTCACATCTCGGAGAAACTCGGATAACTCGGGTGGGCTGTGAGACATCTGCGAGCCGAGCGACCCCGGAGTCTACTCGGAGGAGCTCCAACCTCGGACGAGGCATTCGTCATGCGGAGCTCAATCCCCACGTCTCGCTTGTGTCATGAATCTGCTGAAAGCTTTACCCTAATGAGTCATTTGCCTCCTGTATTCCTGGATTTCTGTTTGTAGTCGAGACTGCAGTTTCTGAGATGTTGTAGATGCCTTCATCGAAGCGAGGGTTTGCGAAAGTTTGGGGTTGGTTGGTTGGCATTGATCTTATGTGGCCGAAACCTGCATTCTGCTAGCTTAGCAGGCATAGCAAGATTAACAACTGAAGCAGTGGCGCAATCTTTGTCACGATCCCAGCACCACCGGCATCTTGAATACCTAGCGTAACCGTGTGTATGCCACTTTTGCGATAGAAGAATAACAGGCGTTCTCCTTGCTCAACGCTTCAACACTAGAGCTCGTGCATGAGCTTTCAAAAGAGAAAACCGTTTTCAACCACTAGCAGGCCCAAGCAGTTGAGCGACTACGATTTGCGGCACGCTGAACAGCTCCACAACTCGACGCTCGAAGCTACCACTCAAACAAAGCCCGATTGTAATGGAAGATACTCGACGATATCGGACCAACTCAAGCTTTGATGCTGGAACTCGGAAGTTTGAAAGCTGGAACTCCTCCCCTTGGGTGCACCACCCACGATGTTTATGATGAGCACTCAGGAACTCAGGATGGAACAGTATATCTGTCAAGGCGGTGCCGATGAAGCCGATGTCACACCAGTTCCATATCCTGAGATGGGCTCGCAGCAGTCATGGAACTCGAGGGGCCTGCAGGAGGGCTATCTGAAGCCCGGTTTTCCACCCAAAAGCCCTGAACATGTGCTGTGATCTGGTACAGCTGAGGCATTGCATCTTCGATTTGTTAGCAGCTGTGCCTTCTAGAATGCTCGACTTGCAAAGCCAGCGGCCTCTCCACGCCGCAGAAATAGTTTCTGCAGCCACCTACCTTGGCACCAGGACAGGCTCGCGATGTCGGGTTTGACAGACCAGACAGGAACTTTAGTGAGTTGATGGGAGCAGGGCAACAAACGCCCATGAGGGATGAAAGCATCTGAATCTTGCCTAAGCGGATCTAACCGCTGAAACTCGCATTGCGTCTTTAACTGTCTACGGCTACTGTACGAGGCCGAGGCTGCCCTTCCGGGCCACGAGCCGAGCCGTCAACCCGCCATTCTGCAGCTCGAGGCACAAAATTCCGCAGGCAGCACTCCAGGATCAGAACCAAGGCAAAGCCCTCAGACACGCCCAGTGCCAACAGGATGAGGAAGTCTTGATTGATTGACAGTCACTTCGGGAACAACTTTTTGGTTTCGTTGGACTTTGCAAGAGATCTTGCAGGACATCCTCGAACGAGACTTCTCGTAATATCGGGACGGGTTGCTTGAGGTCCTCGTGCGAAGAAGCCAGCTGACTTGCAGGGCAGCCGTGTGCTCTTATCTTTGAGGGTTAACCTTCGTCATGCCGTTGACAGGTTTTGACGGTCAAGGCTGCTCGATAGCAAAGTCGAAGACATCGTTTCTGAGCTTTTGGTTTTGTCAGACTCCGACGCGGCATGAAATAGAATAGAAGTTCTCACATCTGAAGCAAGCTCCCCAATGATTCCGCAGGCACAGTACAGTGGCTTTCGCAGACATGATGTATGGGCGGTAGCTCGAATCTGAGAGGCATAGAAACCAGGACATGCGCCCTCATGTAGGCACAACTTTCCTGTCGACATGTCTGAGGAAAGTCAAAACAAGCCCTATAGCCCTATGAGCCCATTTGCGTTTCCCAAAGAGGGTTGGACAGACATTGGAGGCACGAGAGCTACAGTAAGTGTCCCCCTCGAGTGGCTAGGCATGTAATGCTTGCTACTGTTCCCGAAAGTGGCCACACATGTCGCACAGTATTGCGCTCGACCGACGGATCCCGAAGAGCATGCCCATGCTTTTTGCTAAACGAAGAATGCCATGTTGCTATCGACAAATATCGACAACACCTGTGCAACCAAGCCACCACCTCGAACCAAAACCAACCTGGCCAGTTTTGATAGTCATCTGAACTTTGGAAGCCGATCCTCAGCAGAGGACTCAAGCTCGTTGAGGTGTATACGGCTTCTCGTAGGGCCTACTAGGGCATGGTTTGTGGGAACACAGCCTCGAAAGTCTCACGATTTGTGAGAAGAATGTCGGGTATCAAGGGGTCTGCCAGATGGAAAAACCGAGCCGTCCCCCGCGGTGCCCACCGGCGATGTGTTGGAGACCACTCTTCCAAAGAACCGGAAGTCCAAGCTGAATCAGCCGACGGACATGACTCCATTCCCCAGGATCGTCAAGGCGACGACGGGCTCCAGGTAGAGCAAGACCTCCGTGGTCTTCAGGCGCAACCCTAAACATGAGATTCTGGGTCATGCCGAACATGACCGAACATGCTTCTCATGCGTCTTGCTTCGCAAGACCCATGCAAGGGCAAGCCTATGCTGGATAGCCGTCATGAGTCATGATGGTGAACCTTCATGATGTCTACCATTGTGAATCTCGGTGTAGTCGTTGCTGACTGTTGCTGATGGCGGCGGCACAGAGGGGGAGGGGGCAGTGGTGAGGCTGCTGATACTTGTCATGCTTGTCATGGCTGAGATGAAAATAAGGATGACGATGACTTGTTTCTGTCCTGGTCGTAGCGAAGCCACACTGATGTTTACACTCTGCATGCCGAAACGCATCGATCTTGTCTGGTGGCGCCGCAAGGTCGTTGATGCGCACCTTGCGTGAGTTGAGAACTTCGGGCCTGCAACTGAATGCCTTCGTCAGCCCTACCTAGGCACCCGCAGCAGGATGCAAACGCTCAGTCGATGTCGCGGTATCGAAGCAAAGATCTGAAGCCTGAAGCACGACATCTGTGGCCATCCAGGCTACGAAAGTCAGCTCTGCCACCAAACGATTCGCATCACCGGCCAGCAGAATCTCTTTCACAGCCTTTGGTGAACGGCTGGGTGGTTGGCTTGAAGACGCGTGTTGGGCGACCGCCATTCCCATTCTCATAAACTTGTTCTCAACAAGATATCCAGAACAAACGACTTTGCTTGGATAGTGCCCGTCGGCTCCTGCCGCTTGCGAGTTGAGGGAAATTGTCAACGAGATAGTTGCGGTTTTGGTTGCAGGGACAACAAGAGTTGCAAGTGTGCTGTCCTAGAGTCCGGGTGATGTGGCTTCACAGCTCTACGTGCAGCACATGCGACGGCATAATCTAGCCGCGACGCCTGAAACTGTGCAAACACGCGCGGCGAAGGGAAGATCCGCTTCGCGACCTGCAACATCGAATAATGCGACAGGACTGCACGAGTGATAACTTCGGCATTCCATGCTTGCATGCCCGGCATGGAGCTTTCAGCTGACATCAAAGCTTGCACAAGCTGTATGCTCAACTGCCATGCGTGTCTGGTGCTTCCTCATACCCCAAACCGACATAGGCCGGAAAGAAGGCCTCGCTCTCTTCCATGTGAAAGGCCTGTACCAGCGCTCTGAACCTCACATCTCCCATAGTCAACCCGTATGAATACTCATGGTAGTTGTTAGCCGCGCGGTTCTTGATGACGACCCCAGGGACTGTTACAGCGCGGACACTTCTGGGTGGGCTCCTTTTGGGTGGCACCTGCAGCTTGCCCCGGTGCAACCGGGCTCTGAAGGCGGCGCACACTTCGAAGCTACCTGGCCAACTGCGCCAGCTAACCTCGCTGATGTCGGCTAAGGTAGCTGGATTGTGGAGAAGGCCATCAAGCGCACCAGAAGATGGAGTATGACCCTATAACCGGCCCGGTCCCAAGTCCCGGATGAGAACATGGACCAACTTTTTCGCGACCGGCCACTTCTCATGGTGTGAGGGTTCCAACCTCATCCGCAGGGGTTGGGAACTGACCCACCACAACACACGCCATCCTACGCCGTGCTGAAGCAATGCAGAGTACAGTGTTTCTGGGAGGCGGTGCCATGTACCAGGACCTCAACTGGCTAGCCCAATCCACGACCTCACACGGACGCATGCCACACGACATTTGCGCTCATGCCTGGCGTCTGATGTGCTGCGAGGGAGTTTTCGTGGTAGGTTTTCGCTCCCCGACTTCCATTCCATTGGCCTCAACCTACCCAGTTACATGGGGATGGCCTCGTGATTGCCGGATTGGGCTATGAAGCAACTCGCGCAACGCGAAGCATCCCCGTGGCGCCAACCCGGTGTTCTGCTGCTGAACCTCTGCTGAGCTTGGGCACGTGTGGTGTGAGCACAGACTGAGTTGTTGGCGACTTTACTGCCAGTGCAGAGGTGGTGGTCCGGCGACAAATGCAAGTTGCAGTGGTTTGGATTGCTTGACAGTGGTGAGTGGGCATAGGTTTGCGGGCTATACATGTAGCGGAACCTATTCCGCAAGTGGACTTTGCGTTCCAAATGCGCTGCTGCATGGCAGTGCCACTTCGCTGCTCGCAAAGCCGTGCGATCGGCCGCGATAATGGAATGTAGCTAGAAGAAGAAAAAGCAATAGCAGTAGCGGTAGCAGTAGCAGTCGCAGTAGGAGTAGCAGCAGCAGCAGAAGTAGTGGTAGAAGTAGTAGTAGTAGTAGTAGTAGTAGTAGTAGTAGTAGTTGTGGTGGTGGTAGTAGTAGTAGTAATAATAGTAGTGGTAGTGGTAGTGGTAGTGGTAGTGGTAGTAGTAGTAGTAGTAGTAGCAGCAGCAGTCGTTGCTGTTGGATTCATCAAGCCAACCACAGTGCGTGCTTGGTTTTAGCTGGATGGGTGCCTATCAAAATGTTGCACCCTGTGCTGCTGCTACGGATGAGACAGCACACGTTTGTGGCCAGCCCCTTCCAATGCAAGCGAGTAGCGGGACAACATTGAATCTGCGGTCCGGCTCCGAGGGAACCTGCCAAGGCACGTAGTTGTTGCCAATCTAGCGTTGTCATTTTCTTTACTGATTAGGTGGTAGCATGCTTTGGTGGCTGATGCTCTCCGTAGCGAGAATTCAGCGACGCATTGCAGAACGTGATTTGCATAAAAGTAAAGACCTGACATTTGTGCGAGCACGCACTCAAACAAATTGAGTGCGTCTGTACATATGCACACACAACACACACATATACACATACTTACATGCCCTTTTGTACACACGTGTGAGTCAACCCGCCTCTCTATTTGTTTCTCTCTGTCTACATATCTGCGCATCTGCCTATCTGTCTATCCGAGTATCGGCGCGTACATGTGTGACCACATGAAAATATGTATGAAGGTGTGCGCCCACGTACACACTTAAAGCCACCCCGCACAAATCAAACATGTCCAAATTTACTTTTCGGACAGATGTAGTCGACAGATACACCTGGATAAGCAAACTGCATAGATAATCAATACATCGGGAGGACAGAAGTTTTAAAATACTGGACCTTTCTCGTCTGAAAGCGTCTTGCGGAGTAGCGGAGTACCGAAAAATGCGATTTACGTGGCCTGGACAGCGGAGTATTTTATACCGCGTTTTCAAATCATACAGCTCTAATGTTCCGGAGGAGTAGCCGGCTGGTTCTCTTTGTTAGGATTCTACGGGGGAATGGGGGCCTGTGTTCAACGAAACAAAGAGCAGGCCAACCTTTCGTTCTACCGCCGACCGCAGTAAACGATGCGGACTTGCAGAAGCAGTGAGAAGCGGAAAGGAGTCATGGAGCTGCGATACTGGACAATTACAGGAGGGTCGGTAGATATGATGTGTAGGTATAGGCAGGCAAGTGAGTTGTAGGCAGGTCGCTCAACAAATAGGCTTGGATGCGCACACGAACTTCGATACACACGTACGTGGCAGGCAGCCACGAGCAACCACACACAGACACAGATAGATAGAACGAGAGACACAGAGAGAAAGAGAGAGAGAGAGAGAGGGAGAGAGAGATAGGTAGATATAGAGATAGACAGATAGATCGTGATAGAGGAGAGACAGAGGTGTATATATCTATATTTTATATATACACATATATGTATACGCATACATAGAGACATAGGTAGACGAATAGATAGATAGATGGGTAGATAGATAGGTGGGTAGATAGATAGACCGATAGACAGACAGACAGACAGACATGTATGCACTCACAAGCACAAGGGTAGACATACCTTCGTTCATATAAAGAGGGTATGTAATAACTATGCAAAATGCACACGTGCAAAGGACATGCATGAAAGCGCGGAACCAGAAACAAGTACTAGCTACTCACAGACACACCAACGAACGGACAGATGGAAACGGATATATGAACCGTGTACAGGCCGAGGCGCCGAAACCGAGGCTCGTCCCATCTGCGACATTCGCCGCGACGGCTGCGGTCTGCAGGATGCGGGTGGGAGTAGCGCTGTAGAGATAATTGGGTTCGAGCGAAGCGACAAGCATCAGTCTAGACTGTGTGCCCTGGCAGGGCAGCCCCTTAAACTTTCGCACTCTGCAGTTTGCAGCAGATACTGCTGAAGTCTACAGGTCATGCAGTCCCTTGCGCTCGTGATGCATACGGCCATACAATCATGTAGTTATACCGCTGCCAACGCTTGCTGCTTTCGGCCAATAAGTCGTCACCCAAATTCTGGACCCGAACAATGCAATGGCCTTGGCCAGTTCCAATCCGGCGGGCCGGACGTGAGAACCTTCGAGTTCCTTCAATGAAAGCAGGGCGTTCGCTTTGCTTGGCTGTCGCTAACATCTCCGAAGGCCAGCCTCTTCGGTTTGGTATGCCTGTCGGAAGTTATTCGCCTGGGATGGGGTCAGAAAGTCTTTGTCTGACGGGTGCTCAAACCGAAACCCATCACCGTGAGTTGCACGTTCTTACTGTGTGTCGCCTGAGCCTTTACGACATAGGCTTATTGCCAGTCCAGCCCTTCCGCGTCGCAAAAGCCTTAATCAGCCGCGCAGCTTCATGAAGCTTACCCCTCCTGCTGATGTCGACTTCTGGTACTTGGTCCCCACTGGAACCTCCCGTCGAGCAACGTCTCGAGATCGTGTGCGGACGTGTATGCAAAGGGTCTGAGGTGAATTGGTATAGCTCCGGTAGCAAGCAGCAGGACTTTGCTATGCAACTTGATCCTGACTCACGATGTTCAGAGGTGGCCACACAGCCACGAGCGCTCTCGTCAAAGGTTGCCGAGAAGTGTAGGTCTACCGGTCTATGGACGAACCTCGACGGCATGCGGGAACTCAAGCTGGATAAAGTCTGCCAGAAAGTTCAGCATCAGGTCCATTTCCTCCCAGATTGAGAAAAGCACTAACTTCATCCTTAGATGCAGTTGTCAGCCTTTTCATCTCGTCACACGAGGAACCTGAGAGATTGAGAATTTTGCCAGTTGCATAATCTGACCTCTTGGCGAACTGATGCTGCGACTTCATTTCTCATTTGTTGGCATTGCTAGCCCAATAGAGACAAATGGCAGTCATGTTAAACTGTTCATCAAGGCAGTCAACGCCATGATCGTTGAATGTCCGTCTCAAAGACGGTCATATACTAAGCTCCTTGCTCACTGCCGCTTTGTGCCCGGCCTCAACGTCATAGGCTGTCAAGCCAAGAGCGGCAACGGTGTCATGGAGCCTAAGTCGTCCGTGCAACTGCAAAGATTGCAGAGCCCTGGGAAGTTAGGCCTGTAAAACAACTCGTTGATTCCCCTGCTGTTTGTTGGACGCTGCTAGTCGCGCACAAGGCAAACCCCCTATAGCCTGAATTGGAGCGTGCTCTCGGACTGTTTTGCAACCGCTAGAGCTTTCGTGCTGGCAGATCACATTCAATCGAAGACAACCGTGTCCGATGCATCGACTTTGACAAGTCCAAACCTGGTACAACATGCGTGCTCCCAGCTGTTCTGGTTGAGCCTGCCAGCCCAGCAATGAAGGGTTTGGGCTGAGGGGTCTAGCATGATGAAAATCAAGTGTTTGAGACGCGCACATTTGTGGTGGCCCACTTGTAGGTTTTTGTGATGCGCAAATTCGTGGCCTGTTCACAATACTTTGTGCACTCATGTTGGCCTGTCCCAGGTCTTTCAAGTTGGAGCTGCGATACTGGTGCTGTATCTTCGAAACCCAGCAAAAAAATCAACACCAAGACACGCACTAACAAAACCTGAGCCTTCAATCCTACTACCACTTGGGCAAAGCAGCTCTTGACCAGAGATGACTTTCAAGGGCGAGAGGGCCCCCAGGCGCACCTCTTCAAGCGACAACACGTTTTGATCGGATCTGCCGCTCCGGCGAACGGTGCCGAAGCTAGGCGGCTGGGCGTGCTGCGGTCCAAGTTGCACTGTTCTGCTTGCCTAGTATGGGCCATAAAATGCTTCAGACATCTGTGTCCATTCATCAAGTACGGGACGAGAATTAGAAGACATGATGCATAACGGCAGATGAAGAGCAACAACGCAAACACATGCTATGTTGCTCGTCTGCGACTATGGAGTTCAAGAATCAACCTATCATGCACCCCAGCAGCTTGGACCACCACCTTTCCAGCTTCAAACTCAGCCGTCCCAGAAACCCCAGTTGCAAGTGTGATACCCCATGCCGACATTGAATAGGCCACCCAAGCTTCATAGTTCGACTGGCCCACACAGCCAGAAGCCACATGATGTTGGATTTCGAGCACCCACTAAAAGCTTCTGAATAGCAGCCCTTTAACATCTCGTCCCAACGAGGACACCCGCACCTGCAGACGTTCTTGGGCCGCGGTTGAGACCTGCGGTATGGCTCTGGTGCAGGCTTTGGTGCTCTTTGGCGGTAAACGTGTCAAAAAATAGCGACCCGGAGCGACACCACTGCTACAAGGGGAAGCTTTATGTTTTCCCAGAGTGCGTGAAGTCGCGACAGCGCTAGGTCACGCGGAAATGCGTGAAGTTACACCAGGGCGTTTGAGGTCACACCACCAGCAAAACTGCACATAGGCTATCACAGTCCTGACAAAAACTGAACTTAGCATTTCTAGTGCCACGCGCAGGCTTTCTTAGGACATTAGATCCCGCAGCCCTGAGAAGCCTGCCAGTTGGCTTTCAGACACGCAGCAAGAGCAATCAGACAAGCCAGTAACACAAAAATCATCACTCCAATAAGAGCAGTGTCGTGTAAAAGGCATCCCGTACTATCCGAAGGCCAATAGCCCTAGAGCGTCGCAGCAAGCTGCGCGCCTCAGGACCCCCTGGTGTCGTATCGGGGGCTGAAGAGGCCTGGCCACTGTGGCTCTGCGGAGCCATGTTCAAGAAGAGAGAATTAGCACAATGGCCGTGATAGTGAGTCAAACTAGCAGTGCAAGCATCTAACACATGATGCCCATGCCAGTAACAGTCACCATGATCAACGTTATCTCACCATGATCAACGTCATCTAAATATGCCTATACGTGAATGTGCGTCTAACTATCTACCTACCTCTCTGTTTATCTATCCGTCTTTCTACTATCTGTCTACCCATCTATCTGTCTATCTATATCTCTACCTATCCATATTATTCATACATACATATACCATGTGTCTGTATACATATATCTATATATAACCAACTTCGAGACATATAAGCAGATCGATGGTCATAACAACAGTGCAAATCAGTACGCTAAGTAGGCAAGCAAGCAAACCAACACATACATAAACAAGAAATACATAGCTAGTGCATGCATACACAACTAACTAAATAGACACCATTATTAACCAAGTATACACACACAACGTACTTACGCAGCAACAGTCATCAAACAGATTACGCAGATCATTGCACCCACACGGTCTGCTTGCCAGGATTCAGTGAAGGCATTTGTCCTATGAATATGGTAAACTTGAAACTATGCATGTTCGCAGATACCCAGATACCAGACTGTAATGTACACATTTTCGGAACTCCGATTGTTTCTCCGCAAACAGTTGCGCTTGTACATTCTGCCTTGATGGAAGCGAGCAACTTGTGTCACCGTGTGAGATCTTGCCCGCTAAACGCCCGCGACAAGCCTTGTCTTCAAGATCCAAGTTCTTGAGCTCATCCTGGAACTTGCGATGGGCTTTGGGCTCACCAAAGAAGATTGAAGCTTCCGTTTGAAAGTCATCCAGGCCAAAGAGCCCCACCAGTCAACCAGTCCGGTCCTGAAGCGAAATCGCGAGCAGAGAGTCGTTTTGAATCCCGACCTGTCGGCAAGGCGCATCGCACGTGGCTCGACCCTCTACAAACTCACAATCAGGACAAGCGCAGGCTCCTGTCGAGGACCGCTGATCAAAAAGAGTTGCATTTCATTCGCAGTCTGCAACTCCCAAACACCCTCAAGATTCTCAGTGCGACCCAGACAACTTCACCGTAAAACCCCAAAGAGCTCAAGACATCCCACATTTTCAAAGGCCAGCCTTCTCCATGACTGAAGGGCGCAGCTTCCTCCTTTCTCCCTGGCAAGATGGGATGGACTGACTGTTGCCAGAGCCCTCAACTGAGCGGTTGGTGGTGATGATGATGGTCCTGCTATTTGCGATGGCGGTGGTTCACAGCAAAAGTCCCGGCACCACACGCCGCTGACACCGCCTGCCTGTGAGGAGTCCGAGGCAAGGCTTGATCGAGCGCTCCAGATTGGCTCCTTGGGGTCTGTTACTTGAATGCAAGCTAGCTCATGGGAGGCACTTGCATCTCTGACTGCAGGCCTCCTTGCCCTCCCAGGTTTCACACCATGTCCGTTGGGCCTCAGACTAATGACCTGCACAAGCCTCATATGCCGTGCAGACCAAAGAGGAATGATGGGTCTTACCTTACTGGGTTGTGATGTACTATGTTCGTGGTGATGATGGTGATATTTGATATGATGGTGATGGCCTTCGTCATAGCCATCGCCATCGCAAGCATCATCATCATCATCATCATCATCATCATCATCATGATCACCACCATCGCTCGAGGCATTGTGATCTCGACTATGTCGCACTTCGTTTAGCATTTTTGTATATCTGCGATTAGAGGGTGCTCAATTGTCGCCCAAGCTCGGCCGGATCTTCCGCTTCTTCTGCAGTGGGCCTGGCAACATGCTTCAGGTCGGCGGTTCGAGCGTCTATTATCGTATTTTCGAATGATCTAGCCTAGTATCGTTTACTAAATTGTGGTATATAACGCATATGACTGTACACTTTAGTATCTAGGCCCTTGCCAAGGCCTCTGGACATTCGCTTGCTCGATGCGCTCAGAGGTGTTCAGGAAAGCTTGGCGAAGGCATTGAAGCACCGCCAGACTAAGGGCAAAAACATCACCACAATGCAGTACTCGTTCAGTACAGCTGCAAGATGACGCTCTAGTGCAGAAGTTAGCGCGGCAGTGCAAGATACCAGAAGTCTACAGTAAGCTACAACGAGGAGGCAGTGAAATCAAGGAACAATGTAAGCCTAGAGTTCTGAGCATTTCGTTGTTAGCATGGCCGCAAACGGAATATAACAGACATGTGTAACACTGCATTCACGTGAGAGTATGAGCGAGCTATACTTCTATCTGTTTTCGAAGTGACATCATAGAAGCAAAATGATGAAGCGAATCAGCTGCAACCAGAAGCTTCAGGAATGTCTTAACGGCACATTGCGATCACCATCAGGCTGTGATGGGCATATCTTATACGATGACCCCTTGAAGACGTCAGGAGAAGATACTTTGTTCTGCGCCTGACGGGCAGAGGCAGCAGGAGATCTGGCGGCCGGCTCCTGGGAATCAGTTCACAGTGGACGCACGCACGCAGAAGCACGGTTGCACTGACCTCTCGACCTCGTACCGCTGCGCTGCTTCTTATGTAACCAAACAACACACACAACACACAGACAAACACACAAACAGACACACACACACACACACAGAGACACAGACACACACACACAGACACACACAGAGACACACACAGAGACACACACACACAGAGACACACACGGAGACAGAGACAC